ACTATTTAGTAGGTAGACTGAATTTAACAAAACAAAACAAAAACAAATCTGAGTTCCACCCATACTTTCTCAGAACAAAGACTCAGGGATATTGATATTCTTTGTTTACCTTCTCCAAATAAGAGTAATTATTTGTGAATTATTGTTTCTGGTTATAACAATTTTATTTGTTTTTATCCATATGAAACAAAAATTGTAAGAGTCACCACTCGATTCCCTAGTAATTTGGGCCAACAGGCATTGTTTAGGTTTCTGGCATTCTTTGTGTTTGTTTTGTTTTGTTTTGTTTTGTTTGATTTTGCCTGAAGGCAGGGTTCTTCAACCCTGTGAATATCCTCAGAGTTAACAGAGTGATTGATGTAAAGGACAGCAGAGAGAGTTGACCACCGCCTGCAGGACTGTTGTAAGTGCAGAAATAGTCTCCCCTCCTTTAGTGAAAAAGCCCATGGAGGGACACCCACCCACCATCTTTTCTTTACTCTCTCTGGAACTCTGGAAAATTTGTTTCTCTATCATTTATGAAGAAATACATGTATGTATCAGAAGATTAAGCCAGCATAGCAAAGGAAAATGTAGGCCCAGAGTGAGTACCAAGAAGAAATATTCATACCCTATCCAGTTTGGCAAAGTGGACAAAGCATTGGCCTGTGGACTCAAGGGTCCCAGGTTCGATTCCGGTCAAGCACATACTTGCGAGCACAAACCCACTAGGGAGTCTGCAGGAGGCAGCTGATCGATGTTTCTCTCTTATTGATGTTTCTAACTCTCTATCCCTCTCTCTTCCTCTCTGTAAAAAAATCAATAAAATGTATTTTAAAAGAAAAAGAAATATTCATAAAAGATCCTTAGACATGCCACAATTTTCATTGCTTACTATAGAGAGGCAAGCTATTTCCTATGGGAGGTTCTAAGAGCTGAGTGTACCTTTCTTAAAAGCCCTATTGTCTGCTAATCTCACCTACTTCCTATAAGAAAGAATTATAACATGGCATGATTAGGAATCTCAGACTCTGTGTAAGCTTTCCAAAGTCACAAAGAATAACATTCTATCTTATGTGGAACCCTTCAAGTCAGCCAACCTCCCCATTATCACCACCATTCCTTAACAGCCACCTCATTGTTTCTGGTTATAACAATTTAATCATCTCCTAATTGTTCTCCCTTTCTACTATCTCCCACAAAAAATATTCACACAAACTGATACCCTTGCCTTCTATTTTGTGCCACTGTGGTGTTCCTCTGCCTCAAATCATTCTGTGATTCTTGGTTGTCTTCAGGAAAAAGTCCTTGGATGGCTGGGATTAAGTTGTGGTCTACCATTATATCCCCAGTGTCTCCAGTGCCTGCAGCAACATCTTAGCCCATGATGAGGAAGAAAAGAAGAGAGTCAGAACAATGATAAATAGATACATAGATAGGTAGATCACTTCCAATGGAAAGGTTTGATAAATTTCTCTCCTGTCCTGTGCCCAGCCTTTAGCAGGCTCTCTCATCTTTCTTTACACATACCTATTTCACTTTTACCAAAAGGGAAATGTCACCTTACATAGTGACCTGTGTGTTGAGCATGTATGGTGGCCAAACATTCAGGAAGAAACTGAACAATTTAATTAGTCACTCAAATATTTTGTTTACAAATGCCAAACATTGGAAATTACTGGGTGTTTGATTCTTTGTGACTGTTACTGAAGAAGATACACATTCTCAGATATCAAGTAATATCTTTAAAATGTAGTCTGTTTTTACTGATACTTTTTGTTCTAAGTTTATCATTTTAACATCCATTTATGTATTATATATTTAAGTAGATAATACAAATTGAAAAAATCTACCATGGCAAGTATCAGCAATGATTACTTTAGTTTCTTCTTTAAATTTACTTTATAGCAAAAAAAAAAAAAAAACTACCAACAAAAATAGTACTATTGCCAAAACCGGTTTGGCTCAATGGATAGAGCATCAGCCTGCTGACTGAAGGGTCCGGGTTCAATTCCGGTCAAGGGCATGTACCTTGGTTGCAGGCACATCCCCAGTGGGGGACATGCAAGAGGCAGCTGATCGATAACTCTTTCTCATCAATGTTTCTCACTATCTCTCTCCCTTCCTCTCTAAAAAATCAATAAAATATATATTTAAAAAAATAGTACTATTTTCTTGTTTCCAATATTTACCTTATGGATATTAATTTTATATTTAATCCCTCCTTTCTAAAATTTTAAAAATTAAAAATTTTGCTTTTCTATGGGTAATCTCAGAACTATATATTTGTAAAATCCTAGCTTTCTCTTTCATTCTTCCCAATAATTATATTATTGAAGTTTATATTTTGTAGAGGGAAAACACTTTTTGGAATTGAAATTTTCATGTAAGAAAACTGTCTCACCAAACATGTTCTATTATCTGCTGCTTTTGAACAATAAAACTGTCCTACAATAATATAAGGCAAAAATACTTCAGTAGGCCCACTTGTTTTTAGAGTAGCATTTTCCTGCTTAAATATGCTAATTGCCATAAGTCCTAGTTCTTTCTCTTCCCATGGTGTTAGTTTGTCAGGAAATCAAATATAAAATTCTTAGATATTTTAGATAACTTTCTATGAATTTTCTATTTAGACATTCTTTGGAATGAATTAATATATTTAATAACTATTTTTTAAATGTTCTCTTGTTACTCGGTGGTTTAAAAAAATGTGCCTTACTCAGATCAGAGGTAGACATAGCAGGGTATCTTAGCAAATGATTTGTATCTTTTTACATTGCTGTTTTTAATTGCTCCTTTTTTTCCCCCAGAAAGACCTATTTTTATTTACTTTTTTTTTCAATTATACTTGACATACAATATTATGTTATTTTCAGGTGTATGACCCAGTGATTAGACATTTCTATAACTTTACAAAGTGATCACTCTGATAAATCTAGTACCGATCTGACATTGTACATAGTAATTACAATATTATTGATTATATTCCTATGCCGTACTTTACATCCCTATGATTATTTTACAACTATCAATTTGTACTTCTTAATCTCTTCCCTTTTTTATCATTGCTCCAACCCCTCTCCCATCTGGAAACCATCAAAATGTTCTCTGTGTATATGAGTTTGTTTCCATTTTGTTTGTTTGTTCTTGTTGCTTTTTAGATTTACATGTAAGTGAAATCATGTGATATTTGTCTTTCTCTGTCTGACTTAATTCCCTTAGCATATTTTCTCCTAGGACCATTCATGTCAATGCAGATGGCAAGATTTCATTCTTCCTTGTGGCTAAGTAATATTCCATTGTATGTATGCACCACTTCTTCCTTTTCCTTTCATCTATTGATGGACACTTACTTTGCTTCCACATCTTGGCTATTGTAAATAATGTTGCAGTGAACATATGAATGCATGTGTCTTCTTGAATTAGTGTTTTGGGTTTATTCAAATAAATACCCAGAAGTAGAGTTGCTAGGTCCATCTTTGTCTCTTGTTATAGCCTTTCTTTTAAAGTCTATTTCGTCTGATATAAGTATTGCTACCCAAGCTTTCTTCCCCTTGCCCCTTTCCCATTTTTATGAAATGTCTTTTTTCATCCTTTTTAATTCCAGTCTTTGTGTGTCTTTTGATTTGAAGTGAGTCTCTTATAAGCAGCATATGCAAGGGTCTTGTATTGTTATTCAACCACCCTATGTCTTTTGACTGCATCATTTAATCAATTTACATCTAAAATAACTGTTGATATATAGTTATTGACATTCTATTCATCTTTTTTCTTCTTCACAAAGAGGAATCTTTGGTATTTTCTGCAGTAGTGGTTTGATAGTGATGAACTTCTTTAGCTTTTTCTTGTCTGGGAAATCATATTTTTTATTATAGAATAAAATAAAATATCTACACTAATAAAAGAGAAACATGCAAATTAACAATCACTCCACTAGCCACATCCACCAGCCAATCAGGAGCAAGTATGCAAATTAACTCAACCAAGATGGTGGCTGTCCACAGAGCGAGCAGGAGGCTTGGATTTTCCTGGCAATGGAGGAAGCCAGACTTCCTGGCCTGCCCTGGCTGGCTCTGTGCTATGCTGAAGGCTACAAAGTTTCAATTATAGAAGATAAATAAATCCCAGATCCCAGGGCCTCCTCTTGGGTCACCAGGGGGTTCGGGGGATGGCCAGCCTGAAAACCACTACAGTCCCTTTGCCCAGGCCACCCCATGTCTCAAGGAAACCCCTCACCCTGATCTGGAACACCCTTATGGCAAACCAGCCAGCCCCCACCCATGCACCAGGCCTCTATATATAAAAGAGTAATATATAGCTGACCATCACTCCAACACACAAGATGGCTGCCCCTATGTGGTCAAAGATCCTGCCCCCATGTGGACACAAGATGGCTGCCACAAGATGGCCAGCAGGGGAGGCAGTTGGGAGGGACCAGGTCTGCAAGAGAGGGCAGTTGGTGGTGATCAAGCCTGCAGGGGAGGGCACTTAGGGGTGACTAGGCTGGCAGAGGAGGGAAGTTGGGGCAACCAAGCCTGCAGGGAAGGGCAGTTGGGAGGGACCCAGGCCTGCAGGAGAGAGCAGTTGGGGTGACCTGGCCTGCAGGGGAGGGCAGTTAGGGGCAATCAGGCTGGCAGGGGAGCAGTTAGGCATCAATCAGGCTAGCAGGGAAGTAGTTAGGGGGTGATCAGGCTGGCAGGCAGAAGTGGTTAAGAGCAATCAGGAAGGCAGGCAGGTGAGCAGTTGGGAGCCAGCAGTCTTGGATTGTGAGAGGGATGTCCCAGATTGGAGAGGTTGCAGGCTGGGCTAAGGGATACACACACACACACACACACACAACCACACAAACACACCCCGTGCACTGATTTCATGCACCAGGCCTCTAGTGTGTGTGTGTGTGTGTGTGTGTGTGTATTTGGTTTATTAATAGAATATATTAACTTCTTAAGAAATTGTACTCAATAATTTATTCACCACATGTTTCAGCTCACAATGATTTTCACTTTGTTCCCTCTGTATAGGGTAACTACAGTGTCCAGGATTCTCCTAGTTCAACAACTAGTCCATCAGGGTTAACTCAGTTAACATTAGAGAGCATGCTGGGAAAGACTGCAAGGTGGACAAGTAAAGAATATCTAAAAAGTGCCTACACAGAAGCAGAAGCATCAGAAAGCCAGAATTTCTTGGTGCAGCAGATAGATAGAAACAACCTTCAACCGAGTTTGGTGCCTGTGCCATCGCTTTCTCCCCCTGGAAGAAGCAGTGAACCCTCTCAGAATGCTCCAGATCCTATTATCACAGCAAAGGACCCACTGGCCCATCAAGTGCCAGCTTCAGTAAACAAAGCCTCCCTGAAGGAAATCTCAGAGGAGAAGCTGAGACCAATTCCTGGAGTAGCAGTAAGTGGTTCCACCCCGGTTTGCATATGCGGGCACCCACCCTGCTGTGTTCTGTTCCGTTCCACTCTGCACACATTCTCAGCAGTATCTATTTTTCATCATTTGGGTAATCATTAATGTAGTTGCTTTCCTATTCAGATGTGTTTTAGCTCAGTAACAGCAGCTGTTAAAGAGTATCGCGCATCCCAATGATAATAGAATGCCTCATGTTTTTAATGAGAAAGATAATTATCATAATAGTTATTTTTTTATTTCCCAGTTACTTCTCATTATTTTAGTCATCACTGCTTGCAAATTACAAATGAAGATCTTATTTTTGAGCCAAAGGCTTGCCAGTAAAGTTGACAGATTTTCAATAACAATCTACATTAGAAGCCATAAAAACATCATTATTCTATTCACTTTGCAGCAATTCCCCAAATAATAAATGGCATGAGTGAAGGTTAACAGTAAAGCAATGTCATTGAATAAATCCCTAGGCTGGTTTGGTGGCTATCTTCATGTCCATCACATTGATTTTTTTCTTCCCGTGTTGTCCTTTCCTTCCTTCAGTTCCCCCGTAGCTGCACTTAGACACCAGAGACTCTGCAGGACATATGACACTTATATTCCATTTTCTAAACATTAGAGACTATTTCTATTTGTCATGTCCTAAGTATTCCAACTGTGTTAAAATGTAAAACTTTGGTTCTATTATATTTTAAGCAATTTAGAGTGGATCAATTATTATCTAGCACAGGTAAGACACATTATTAATCAGCAACAAAATAGAAGTAGCTGATATTTCTTAAACATTGTACCAAGCCTTTTCCATGAAGCATTCCATTTAATCCTCAGGATGACCCTGAGAGGGAGAGACTGTTATCATCCCCTTTTTTCAGATGAGGAAGCTGCAGTTTGGAATAGTTACACAGTTTTTTTCAAGGACAACAGTTGGTTTGAGAGTCACAACTTGAAGCTAAATTTTCTGTTTCTAGAACTACCAGCTGTGGCCACCATCCTATTCTGCATAAACATGTGCTAAGTCATAAAAGCAATGGTCTCTCTTTAAGAAACATCCAAAAATAAACAAATGAACTTTCCCCTTTTTATTTCTCATGCTTGTGTGCATGGTTGTATGTGTGCGTGTAAAAAAAAAAATTGTAAATCACTTTAGCCTAATAAAAATGGATTTGTTTTATGGTGATTTCAGATGAAAGTAGTCAATAATATTTTTGCATGTTTTATTTTTGAAAATAGTTCTAAAACAAATGTTCTTGTTCTCTCTAACTGTCATTCTTTCTTTGGCTGTGCTAATGATTGGAATGCAGCCAATAAACTATTAATAACCTTAGAGATTTATTCTACAATGCTGGGCTGCCAGAAACAGCACTAGAGCAAGTCCTGGAGAAGCATTCCACTCCGTTTTCTCCCTAATTTCTTTGCCTCCTCCTTCCATTAGGTAGAATCTGTCATCCTATATATCCCAAAGGTTGCTTGTTTCCATTTTTTTAAATCTTCCTGTAGAGATAAAAATCAGAGCACCACAATCAGCTTGCGGACTTCGGCACAAATAGACTTTAAGTACCTGGACACTCAGCAAGTCCACTGCCTGAAAATAGTGCTTTCTGATAATACCAGGGAATAAGGGAGGGGGCCAAGGGGCTGAAGTTTGGAGAGCAGGAACTTGCCCTCCCATTCTCTTCGTTTAAGAAGCTTTTGGGATAAGACAGTTTCCAGAAGTCATTTGCATTATTTGAGGAGAGCCTTCTTAGAGCCACGCACTGCAAAATTCACAGCAAAGTCCTGACCCGTGTCTGCTCTGCTCAGGAGCCCTCTAAGTTGGTACTAGTCCATTTTCCAGCCACAAACCCTGACAGCAGTGGCTGCAGAGAATGAGAGGGAGAGGAGCTTTGTCCCTAATGAGGGGATAGAGGCACAAAGGCATTGCTTCCCATTTGTGCAGAGAGCTTTGACCTCAGTGTCAACACTCAGACTAATAAAATTTGATCTCTGACAACCCACAAAATCACTACAATCTATGGCTCAATTTGTGAATGTGATCATTTCAGTTTAATAGGATATAGAAGTATTGAAGGCCTAGGCGGTCTGCCCCATTTCAGAGGGAGTTTACAATGAAAGTGGAGTGCTCTTCCAGAGATACCATTAAAAGGAAATTCAAGGTCATAGTGAAGAGGTTCTAATGAATGACATTCTCTCCACTTGATGTTTGCAGGTGAGAATCGGTGGAAACAAGAGTCCTGTAAAGAGCGTCATGTGTGTACTAGCTCCACAGAGGGATTTTCCCCAGGTCCCAGAAACCCATGTTTTTATGGTCTGCTTTACTAAGATTTAATTCTCACAATATAGAATTTAGTCTTTTCTTAGTATATTTACACAGTTGTGCCACCATCACCACTATCTAATTTTAAATCATGTCATCAACCCCAAAAGAAACTTCATATTTATTAACAGTCCCCCTAAACTCCTGGAAACTGCCAGTCTATTTTTTGTATCTATGAATTTGCCTATTCTGGACATTTCATGTAAGTGGAAGCATGGCTTTTTGTGTCTGACTTCTTTCACTTAGCTTAAGTTTTTCAAGTTCATCCATGTGGTGTCAGTTTTCTTTTTTATGCCTGAATAATAATTCACTATATGGATATGCCATATTAGCTTATTCATTTATTAGTTGGAAGACATTGGTTATTTCCATTTTGGAACTATATTATGAATTCTGCTGCTGTGAACATTCATGTGCAACTTCTTGTGTAGGCATACGATTTAGTGCTCTTGGTATATACCGAAGGGTAATATTGCTGGTCTATAGGCACTTTACTTTTAACTTTTGAGAAACTGCCAAACTGTTTTCCAAAATGGTTGTGCCATGTTATATTCCCATCAACAATGGAACAGAGAGGGGTCCAATTTCTCCATATCCTGGACAATACTTCTTACTGTCTGTCTTTTTATTTAAGCCTTCCTGTGGTGTGGTATCATTGTGTTTGGGGCTTGCATTTCCCTGTTGGCTAAAGATGTTGAGCATCTTTCATGTGCCTATTAGCCATTTATATATCTCCTTTTGAGAAATGCCTATTTAGATCCTTTGCCTATTTTTAAACTGGATTATTGTCTTTTTATAGTTCAGTTGTAAGAGTTTGGATACAAGTTCCTTGTCAGTTATATGATAAATTTTCTATTCTGTAAGTTGTCTTTTCATTTCTTGATGGTGTCCTTTGAAACACAACAGTTTTTTATTTTGTTGAAGTTCAGTTTATCTATTTTTTCCCCTTCAGTTGTTTGTGCTTTTGGTGTTATATTGCCTAATCCAAGGTCATGAACATTTTCTCCTGTTATTGTCTAAGAGTTTTATAATTTTACATTTTAAATTTAGCCCTATGATCCATTTTGAGTTAATTTTTATTAGTTAATTATTTGAAACTTCAACTACATTGTTTTGCATGTAAATATTCATTTGTGCCAGCATCATTGGTTGAAAGACTGTTTTTTTCTATTGAATTGTCACCCTTTTTGAAAATTAGTTTACTATACATGCCAAAGTTACTTCTGACCTCTCAGTTCTCTTTTTTTGATCTGCTAGAGATCTGGTGCACGGAATCGTGCCCCATTGGGGCCCCTTGGCCTGGCCTGCACCTTTCACAATCTGGTACCCTTTGAGAGATATTGGACTGCCGGTTTCAGCCCCATCCCCACAGGCCAGACCGAGGGACCCCACCAGTGCATGAATCCATGCACTGAGCCTCTAGTATGCATATAAGATCTTTGGTTAATCTCTTCCTGCTTTCCCCACTCTTCCCTTCCCTCTGAGATTCATCGGTCTGTACCATGTTTCCCTGCCTGTGCATTGAGCATCTGTCCCCTGGTGGTCAGTGTACATCATAGCTACTGGTCAAACAGTCACTTAGGCTTTTATATATGTATAGATATGACTATCCTCATGCAGTACCACACTGCCTTAATTACTACAGTTTTTGCAACAGGCTTTGAAATCAGGAAGTATTACTCCTCCAACCTTATTCTTCCTGACTTTGTTTGGCTGAGTCCCTTGCTTCCACAGATTCCATATGAACTTGAGGATCAACTTGTCAATTTCTGTTTTTAAAAAAGGCAGCTGGAATTTGAGGAATATTGCCATCTTAATAGTAAGCCATTTTTTGCCGGGACCGGTTTGGCTCAATGGATAGAGCATCGGCTTGGGGACTGAAGGGTCCCAGGTTCGATTCCGGTCAAGGGCATGTACCTTGGTTGTGGGCATATCCCCAGTGGGGGTGTGCAAGAGGCAGGTGATCGATGACTCTCTCTCATCGATGTTTCTGGCTCTTTATCTCTCTCCCTTCCTCTCTGTACAAAATCAATAAAATATATTTTTAAAAATAAATAAATAAATAAATAAATAAATAAATAAATAAAAATAAAAATAGTAAGCCATTTTTTTTATTTATTGGGGTCTTTAATTTCTTTCAGCAATTTTTAGTAGTTTTCAGTGTACAAGTCTTACACTTCTTTTGTTAAATTTATTCTTAAGTATTTTATTCTTTTTGATGCTATTGTAAATGGGATTGTTTTCTTAATTTTATTTTTGACTTGTTCATTGCTAGCCTGTAGTAATACAATTGTTTTTTCTATTGATTTTCTATCTTGCTTCCTTGCTGAACATTAGTTCTCTCCATGTTTTTGCGAATTCCTTAAGAGTTTCTATATATAAAATGATGTTGTTGCAAATATAGTTCTACTTTCTTTCCCATCTGGATCTTTTTTCTTTTACCTAATTGCCTCCACAAATGGATTTAATTTGAATGGAAAACTTTTCTTTCTTTCAAGATATTTAAGACTTAATACTTTTTGACTAGTGTGGCTCCAGAATTGAATTCTAACACAGACATGATCAGCTCAGACAGGCTACAAGAATTCTACTGGTATGACTTATAGGTAATGTACTAATGCAGAATGAAAATTTTGAGAGTTATCTTGGGACTAGAAGTCCATCTAATATTAATATT